TGGCGGCGGGGCAGGGGGGGCGGCGGCGCTGCTGGAGGGGGCGGGCGGCGCGCGCTGACCCCCGGGGGGAGGAGGAGGCGGCGGCGGAGGAGAAGGAGGAGGAGGAGGAGGAGGAGGAGGAGGAGGCGGTCCGGGGGAGGAAGGACTGCGGGAATGCGGGCGGGACCCGCCGCCCGGCGGCTCACGGCGCCGTCCCCGCGGTCCGGAGCGCAGCCCCGCGCGACCGGCGCCGCTCCCTGCCGCCCGACCCGGACGAAGACGGCTGCACCCGCTCCCCCCTATGCCCCCCATCCTCTCCCCCGGGAAGGGTTGGCATCTCCTCGGGTCGTGAAACGCGTTTTTATCCTCTCGGTGTAGGAGACTCATCCCGCTTTACACATTTTTTGAGGGACTTGGGGACGCTGGTTTACAAGCAGGGAAAACCCCAAGCAAAACTTGAGCAGCGTGGGGGAGAAGGAAGGAGGAGGGTTTAGGGACTTCAAGCAAAGCAATGCCAGGGAACATTAAATTAGAGCGCATAACTATTAAAAATGCATGGAGATGAAGTATTTAAAATTCCTCCATGACATATAACATTAATCCGTTTTATGTAAAATTCATACCTGTAACTTAATTTGGTCCATTAATGCCCCAGATCACGTATTAGTAGATGTACCATGTTTTAAATATGATGCTGGAAATGTCCAGAGTTCTGTACTTTGAGACAGAGCATTAAAATTAACAGACATATACTCTTGAGTCCTGCTTAAGTCATCTTGTGGCAGATTGTAACCTTTTAATTTAATAATGCGGTGTTGAAACTTCCTGTTAATTCCTGCTAAGGATTAAGAGCCGCTGTGTATTTGAATGGGACGCTGGTGTATGAAATTTGGCGCCCGATCCTACAGGTGCTGCAGTACTGCAAGCTCTCCGTGAGTGAAATAGGGCTGATTGCTCTGGTAAAGGACTGAAGGAAGGAGTAAAGGCTGCAGGRCCTGCCCCTAAGCTTGTAAGTCAAACCCAACAGAAGGGAAGAAATCCATAATGGTGATTAATGATTACATGTCCCCTCAAAGCTTAGTCACAACGGGTGATGTATAAAGGATACAGTGGGAAGCTGTCAAACCCAGRATTTGAATGAGTGGTGAGACTGGACCATCTGAAGCATATAATGAAGTACACTTGCGTTCTCTCTCATCTCTTAAAAACACATATTTTGAGGCTCTGCTTACAAATACTCACACTCTTGTTTACCTGATTCTGTCCCACATTGCCTGTGCCATCCATGGCACTTAGGCTCCTCTCAGCTCAAAATACAAGTGTGTGGCATAAATCTTTGAAGTGTAAATCTAGACTGAGGTCTAGATCTGTATGCTACATCATGCCGATTGATGGGAAGATGTATTTCCATTAGCTATGGGCTGCATGATCCCAATTTGGTGGTAGTCGTCATTGCCTTTATTCAGTGAAACTCCTTGCAGTTTCTGGGCAGCCACAGGCCTTAGAGCGTACATTATGGTTACTTTGTTTCATTGAGTCCTGGTAATATGGACAGCTCCAATGTAGTGTCTAGGAAAAATAAATACTTTGTAAATTATGGTGAAAATACAGGCTCAAATCGTGCTGATGCCATTTAATTAAAAAGAATGAAATAAGATACCTTGTAGTATTGGGCTGTTCTGTTTGTACTGAATCCCCTCTGGGAGCTCCTCTGATCTCACTGGAAGTCTCTGGGAAACCCCAGTATGTAACTGGTTCCCCTTTAGCTCTCCCAGAGCTAATTTGGACAAATTATTTCTGTACACGCGCACAAACACACAACACACCCTGGAGCACCACTTTAACAAATCTTGAAGATGACTCAGGATTTCTGTAAATTCTTGAAGAACCATGAAACACTTTTTACACCTCTTTTTCCATCAGGCTGTTCACTGCAGAAGGTACAAAGGAAAACCCAAGGGTCTGCAAGCCTTGAAGCTGCAAAAGGATCGCGTGCGTTCATGTAGCTAACATATCACAGCGGAGATATGTGGGACAGGGGAAAACAGCCCTCCCCTCCAACTATGTATAAATATTCAGGGATTTTCCTCTAGTAACTCCGTTTGAYACTCATGAAGCCGATACATGCTAGTCTGACATGCTCAGCTGAGCAATACGCACCAATTCTCTGTCAACAACAGGTCTGCGTTTGCTCTCCTTGAAGTCAATGGCGGTTTTGTCATTGACTTAAGTGGGACCAGGTTAGGTTGGCTGCTTTTTCAAAATTTAGATTGGACGTGCTTAGTAAATTGCTTTAGAAAGGGRCTGGAAAACCCAGAATGTTAGCTGTCTAGGTGGGCATAGTGAAAACTCTTCTTCCCTAAAGAGGATTGTACACAAGAGAGAGGCACAGTGGCTATTGTTCATGCTTTTGTCYTATTAATAGCAATATTTTTCATGGCATGAGTATATAGAGATTAACACATCTGTTTTTCACCAGATTTAAAAAAAAAATAATCTGTGCATCTTTAAACATCTGGTCCCTTTCTGGCTGCAGGAGTTTATCTRTCTTGGCTGGGTTTTTCCTTGTTCTCTTCCTGTATCCAGAGTCAAGATCYATTTCCATTGTAAGCAGCTCTTGCAATATTACCACAAGATCCTTGATAATGCTTGAAGGGACCAGTTTGGTCTATTAAAAGAGAATCAATGAGTTCAGATCACATCATAGGTGCTCTCTGAAGAYTGGAAAACCTTTGATTCAAACCCAAAGTAAAACATTTTGGAAAGGAAAAGGTAATTGCTGGCCTTGTGTGCACCATGTCATGAGGATAGCCCCATTGAATTTAATGAGACTGAGTAATGTATTCTGAATTTGTCGGCAYAGGTCTGAGTATATGCTATTGACTCCAGGTGAAAATATAAACCTGAGACATTGATGCTGTCTCTTGAGTCATGGCACTGTGGAAGGGGGATAGTCCTTCCAAGCACAGAACGTGTGACATTTCCTCTGACAGCACTCTGGATCCACAGATGCTTGTGCATGATATGATGCCATTGAACCAACCATACCACATTAGTTAAAATAGTCTCTGGACAGAAAAAATTTGAAGGGAATACATTCAGGAATGCAGAGTGAAGCAAGCAAATCAAAGTGGTTRCTTACACAAGGTTACTTGCTATACCTACCTTAAGAGGGCATGAAATGCACACGAATGCTCAATGCATTTTTATTCTTAAGCAGATTATGAAACAGTGGTTGAGTCAAGTGTCCTCGTTTTTGAGCTTGGGGCAGAGCAGTGCAGTAAAATCCCAAGCTTTCCTTTGCGTGAGGCTGATAACTGGTGCCACAAGTTTCATCCTGGTGAGMATAAAGATATATGATACTGAGACCTCCTGCTCCCCATTTTGTTTGACTTCAGAAAGCAGCCAGAAGACTCAGGATCTCAGAGGAGCTGCTCAACACCTAGAAGGGCTGATCATTAAAAAAGCATTATAAATCTCTGAATGGTTTATGGTTTATGAGGGAAATAGCAATTGATTCCTCAGTGGTGCCATTACTCTCCRCTATTGCTATCATTCAAAAGGCAATAATGTTGGTTATTTACCTTCAATTAAAATATCTAGTTAGTTGTGATGTCATTTAAAATAGCAGYATAATGTGTTTAGTGCTCCCTTATCAAACACCATAGATAAACTCCTCTTGGCAACAGGGGAYGGTGATATGAAATGAAAAATTGTTTGGGGGGGTGTGATGGAGGAAAGTCTATGTAAATTGTTTACTTTTATCATTCCTACATGCCTGTGTCCCTTTGGACAACAGCCTGGAGGTGAGACTGCAGGATCCTTTGCAGTGACACCCCACAGATCCTCCAAATGGGTGAGGGCAGATGCATTGGGGACTCYAGGAGTACAGAGAAGTCACCTCACTCTGCAGTGTACCAATGGACTGAAATCCATCAGTCTTCTGGTACCACTCCTCACCAGGGATGATTCATCACCAAAGCTTTTGATCACCAAAACTTAACCTTTTCCCCAAATAACACAATTTGATAGTGTTCTCCCTATATTCCTCAAATCCAAAATCTAAATACAACTCATACAGTTCACTATATGTGATGTTTTTTTCTTCATTGTCTGCTTGTGCTCATTACAGAAATTTCTTTTCAATAAAAAAACCTGAGAGATTCTCAAGACTTTCAATTCCTCACTACCCGCTGTGCATGAAGTTCAATAAGAAATAAAGAGAAAAATGTTTTTTGATTGCTCACAATAGGTCTTCACAGAAAAAGAGAAATTTTTTTTTCATATTCATGTAGTTGTCCAGGTTAGAGCATCCTTCTAATGTCAGGAGCATACTCCTACACACTACTTTATGCTTTCCTTCAGCTTTGTA